TGAGCAAAGTTTAACTGAACACTTTAGCTATTTAGCGGCCTATGGAACCAATGATAAGGTTCCATGGCAATATTAAATACATGGTGCCCACATCTTTGATAGTGGGGCCCATGAATTTATTACTAGCATGGAACCTCATCATTGATTCCACAACCCGTTGAATAACTAAAGTGTTCAACTAATCCAAATTCCATAACAATCCCTTAACAGCTTGGATTTTCTACTCCCGATCGGCAACACCGAAGGTGTAGTAGAGACATCTAACCAAGAAGATTCTATCTCCATCTCTGTTTCCATCTTGAGGCACCTATGGTTACATGGGGTGTAAGCCTTCACTTCTCTTGCGAGTGAAGATCTAAACCAGTCTCTTAACTGGGGTTCTCGCTGCACTATATAGTTTACATCAATTATACTCCATCCAAATGGGTACAAACCCAGAGGGTAGCACGGATACTTAAAAATGTTTAACAAGCACAAATAAGTCAAATGAGAATTTCGTTTGAAGTTAAAACCAGCATAATACTAACGAAAGGGGCAAAATATTGGAATTTAAAAGTTCAGGGGTTCTTTGTCACAGATGAAAGCTCACGAGTCTAAATGTAGTTGAACTTATTCACGCAACTTTGTTCTGATTAATCAATAAACCAAAATCCTAACTAAAATTATTTAAATTGAGCAACCCATGAAACCTTTGGAAGAAAGCAACTGATATGAAAAAAAAAAAAAAGATTTCCACTAGGATAACTGAAATAATGACGCTTAGCAAAGTAAAACGAAGCTTACAGAACTGTTGATCCATGAATAGAGGAGGCAATAAGAGCGAGAAACGCAGATGCTTTTTGCAAGAATTGTTCATGGAAAAAGACAAGGTTAAAGAATTGTAGTTTGGTGCTTGGTGGGGCTCAATTGCCTGGTCACCTGGAATCTATATTCCCTAGATGTTGACCAAAACTAACATTTCACACTAATTCTAAGATGGCGCTCAAAACCAAACAAGAACGACTCTCAGGTCGATTCGAGTATATATCATGTTCTTTAGGAGGCGTTCTTTTTTTTTCGATTTTGAGAGGGGGAAAGTTGGTCAATGGAATTTTGGTTTTCACTGATCAAGAATCCTATGTTCTTTTTTTATATTTATGTGGGGACTAGGGAAAGTTTATTTTCCTGGGTATCATCTCCTAGGTGGGTAAATAACACTTGATTGAGACAAAAATGTTTTTTTTTTTAATAATAGATTTTTATGGCTAAAATGGTCATTGCCTTATTTACATGAGAAATAAAAGAACATRGATAAATACACTTACCCGGATAAGTGTTTCCTAAGAAAAACTTACCCAAGTAACTATGTTTACTCGGGTAAATAACTTACCGAAAAGCAAATGGGGCCTTATTGTTTTTTATATTACCAAAGATGCTAATGAGGATGATTTGGGAATTCATGAGCTGTCTTGGCCGAGGGTCTCACTTGTAAGCATAAAAAAGATGTCAAAGGCTAGCTCTAGGGTGTAAACCAAGCTAGGGGCGTTGATTCTGACTATTAAGTATACGTTTGGCATGAATGCTGCAGATACAACACTTTGCTGATGTGTGCGTTGGAAGCACCATTTTCTAAGAAAACAGTGTCTTTTTTTTTTTCTGTTTGAAAACATTGTTGCTAGGTAGGACGTTTCCTGGAACAACAACAACACTTTCTGTTTGGTACCAGTGTTCCATGTCTATTTTCAGCATTGGTACCCATTATAGGAAGTCCACATCACTACCACATCACGTCCTCATTGGTAGCAACGTGCTACAATTTGAGAAAATACCAAATTCGGCATTGCTCCAAACCACGCCTTTTTGATTTTTAAGGCATGGCTTGGAGCACTATTTTTATGGAAAAACAATTCCAAACAAACAGGCGTTTCCTAGAGCACCGTTTTTTCCGAAGTGGCATTTCCTGGAGCAACGACGTTGATGCCAAACAGAYGCTAAGTTAGCTAAAGTGAGCCGAGGTGTCCTAGTGAGCAAATAAGAGCAAGAGAGGAAGAGTGCATAAGAGAAATACTTATAATGGCTCCAATTTTTAGGCAAGGCTACATTAATGGTGGTGTTATGGTTATCTTGTAACGGCACCACATGTAGGTGTTTGGCATCGTTGTTGAGAACACAACACTGTTTCTAGGAGAAAACAATACTTATTTTTTGTTTGGAAACANTGGAGCACTATTTTTATGGAAAAACAATTCCAAACAAACAGGCGTTTCCTAGAGCACCGTTTTTTCCGAAGTGGCATTTCCTGGAGCAACGACGTTGATGCCAAACAGAYGCTAAGTTAGCTAAAGTGAGCCGAGGTGTCCTAGTGAGCAAATAAGAGCAAGAGAGGAAGAGTGCATAAGAGAAATACTTATAATGGCTCCAATTTTTAGGCAAGGCTACATTAATGGTGGTGTTATGGTTATCTTGTAACGGCACCACATGTAGGTGTTTGGCATCGTTGTTGAGAACACAACACTGTTTCTAGGAGAAAACAATACTTATTTTTTGTTTGGAAACARTACTRCTACATAGGCTGTTTTTTGGGAAAACAACATTGGTTTTGTATGGTACTAATGCTATAGAATCATTTTTAGCATTGGTCTATATTATCCAATGTCCAAGATGATGTCACATTGATGCCATATCATTGCACCACCGGTAGCACGAGTTGTTTTATGATAAAACATTGAATTTGGCATTTCTTTATACCACATTTCCCGATTTCCAATGCATGGTCTGGAGCAACTTTTTTTCTGGAAAATAGTACCAAACAAAAGGTCATTTTCTGAAGCACTGGTTTTTTTGATGATGTGGCACCTACATGGCACCATTCTCTGAGAAAACGATATGAATGCCAAACATCGACTATGATGGTGTTTGGTTCCATAGGCATTTATTCAATAAACACTACCACATAAACACCATTTCAATAGCTCCCCTCTCATGCTCTTTCTTATGCATTGAGAATGATAAAAGTGGATTTCATTTTTTGTACACACCTACTGTTTAGGAAAATTATTTTTTAAAACTTTCACAGATTAATAGTGGCATGCCTAATTGTTWTARACGGTTGTAGTTATTACTTTTCTCCATTTTATAAACAAATAAATTACTCTTGCATTTAGTGAGCTAAAGGGCTCGGCCTTGGTTGTAATGCCTCGGCATGGGTCCCGTCATTGAGGCCATKGGTGAAATATCGAAAATACCCCCTCGAGTCCTATGAAAAGATAAGGAATTAAGGATACCCTCTGTGGACCGAGGTGACTACATGTGAGATGCAGATTGGTGTGGATGATATTTGCTGTATCCACTTTCTTTGGTACTGTAATTGCTTATTAATTGCGGTATCAACGATTACATCTACTTATTCAAATTTCAAACAAGCTAGAGTRCAGTTCTCCTAATAATACATGCAGCTAAGAGAAAACAGTTGAATAAATGAGGAAAATTATTCTCATAAAGCAGAGAATAGAATCTCATCAATTCACTGCAACTCAACTGTCATCCCTACTTCGTGATGATCCATCTGCTTGCTAATCGCAGCGTGAGCTTCCTCACTGCTAGCTGCTTCCCTCGATAATAGCGTTATGCTGGGAAGGGTTGCCTTTATCTATCTCCGGCTTGTTGGGTTTGGCCATGAGAACACTGTTCGTCTGAGGAGGGTCACCTTTACTTATCGGCGGTGCAGACCTGGAAAGAATATTGATCCCGGACGATTTGCCGGAACCTGTTTTCTTTGTCACCTTTTTGGCCATGAGAGTGGAGTTGGTCTGAGGGGGATCGCCTCTGTCGATTGGTGGCTTCCTGGGTCTCTTCCTCCTGTCAAAACAATGAGAAAAAGCAAGCTGATCAGAACAAAAGACTAGTTTTAATGATTCATATTCAGAAAACTAAACGTTTAGAATAATAAACTTACCTAAGTAGAGAGCTTTGTTGATTTGTGGTTTTCAGGTTTGGCATTTGAGACGGGTTTCTGGTAATCACAATTGGAGCCGTGAGAGGGAGTACTCTTGTCTGCGTGCACAGTGATGATGATGATTGATCGTCTTAATTTCAAAGTCTTGCCGGGTGCTAGCTTCTCAATCAGGTAGAGTTATATATAGATGAATAATGGGTTCTTCGAGTCAGTGAAACCGTGTTTGATTAATTGATTCTACTTTCTGTTTCGATGTATTGGAGTTTGTGGGCTTGAAATTTGATTCAAGACTGGAGTTACAGAGTCAATTCAAAGAAGGAGAAAAGGTTGATTTGGACAAACTAGTGGAAGAGATGAATCAGTCTAACACCCTGCAACTTGCATATAAAGTAATAAAACGACAAATGATGAGAATTTGCAATTCATTAGAGAGTTTTTGATTTGGTGACGTTCATCATGATCAGTTGTTTTTTATTAATTAATAAAAGTTAATCTATCTGGACTTGGTAATTTATTAATGCTGACTAATCCATGTCGTAAAATGATAGGTTTTTAATATAATGGTGGAATTTTAACGGTCATAACGGTGGACCTAAAAGTGTAAATTGGGGCGGCAGATTGGTCCGACACGATCATCTGGGCCGTGCTGGGCATGGAGTTTTAAGTTTATAGGCGGATAGACTGTCAATGAATCGAGACTAGGGCATGGGGTTTTAGGTCCATAAGCCGGGTTAAACTGTCAATGAATCGAGACTGGGTCGAAACAGGGTAAAATCAGTTCGAACTGACAAGAAATGTCAAGGTCCTAGAAATGAAGGGTGTAATTTTAGATTCAAAACCGACCCAATCAGTTCTTGGGTCTATTTAGTCTAATCTGATCGACCAAATGATAATAAACTTGCTGAAAATGCTATATATTTATATTATATATGTATATAATATCAATATATATTTATCTAACAAATGTGATGAACGAAATCAAATATTGGAACATACAGTTTTTTTCATTATTTTAAAATATCTGTGTGTGTGAGAGTGAAAGGATATGGCATTTCTACAACGCATACCGGTACGGGATATGGTATTAGGCTAAATCCAATCCTCCTCGACCCAAATATTGTTAGAAAGCATATGAATTCTATCTAATTGTTAAATTTAACAATATTTTAAATTTTATGTGTGAAGAATAATTGATAGTTTGTGTTTTTATATGTCTAATTAATCAATGATT